TGACGATCGATCTACTGACCATAATTGGACTGAACAGAATACGCCAACAAAAACACTGCAAGTGGAGAAGAGAGTTTCTTTTTTGTTTAAAACTTCCATTGCTGCTGACGCGTTTAGCAGAATTTTAACCGCTACAACGAAATTCACCTTTCGGACCACTCAGCTAGGATGTTTATTCTCTACGTCACTGAATATCGGATGACAGCAAAGATAAGTTGCCCGTGTTGACCTTATTCACCATTGTCTATCAATTCAAGTCCACTTGTGGTAACACGCGCGAATTCAATGCTGGGGGAGGGGAGGGATCCAAAGTTCAACCCCCCCCCAACGGGCTCCACCAGGCATAACTAAACATGGAGATTTGCGGGAACCAGATTAAAAGCCATTATTTGGACAACGGTTGGCCGATTCCTGATCGTGGTTGCGTTTCAATCTTGTGTACATCCAATCGTAACCTGTTAACCAGCAGGATTGTTCAAAGCAAATCGGTGACCGTTGGTTTTCATCTGTTAGCCTGGGTGGGATAAGACAGGTGTGTAAGCTGGCCTTTTATTCGTGCGTGGTGGAGCATATTCGTAACATCACGATTACGTGGTCAGACCATTGTGGCGCTTTTTCTGAGGACGCTTGTCTAGCGAAATTGCACAAGATCCTGCAGCACTATCACTGCTTGGTTACTACCCACCAGCCACTAAATCGGTGGCGGTTCCTTATTGGCAACTTGGAGAAGCGCCAGGAAGTAGGCAGTTTAGCTGTTAAGCCCTACTGACGAGCTCTAAGTAAGAACAAAAATCGAATATTTGTTTGACTAAAACATCTGCAAATTATGAGAGGGCAAAGTCTGGAAGATCGTAATTCTCAGGCAACAACGGATACATGATGACGACAGAAGAGAGAAAGTCTATGTGAACTCATAATGTATAACAAAGAAAAACGATACTTTGTCACTTTGTTACCTTCCATTCGATTCTGTGGTCTTTTTTCAATCCCCTGTTTGGACTTATCATTTGAGACGGACACCCGTGCGATGGCTTCATTCAGTTGGGGCGAGGTCGTCACTTTCTCCTCCACCCCTTTCCTGTTCAACTCGACATTAGCAGAGTGTTGTGGTTCTTCTTCTTCTTCCACTTCTTCATCCCCATTCACATCCTCCTCCTCGTCGTCGTCGTCGTCGTCGTCGACTTCGGTGCTCTCATCGGACGAATCGGAATTCAGCGGCGTGGAGAGTTTGCCCGGTTTCGAATCCAGCAAACTAAGAGGACCTGGAACGACGAGCGAGCGAGAGACGCACGAAAACATATATGCAGTATAGTATATCTATCAAAGTGTACCAAACAATTACGGGAACCAGGAGGAGAAAATGTCAAGCGATAACGAAAAAGGAGAGCGGGGGGGCGGGGGGGGGGGTTGGATTGAAGGATGCAGCAAAAAAACTGACGACATCACCCCACGAACATTGGACCTCTGAAATCGAACTGTTCCATCGGTAGAAACTTGATGTTAGTTCATCTCCGAACACCTTTAATCACGATCCTATTGGATGTAGGCGCATCTACTGGCGAAGTGCATCAACAAATAGAACGAAGTGATGATTCATTGGATGAGAAAGCATACCGAGTCAGTATGCACAGCACACACCAGAGTCACGTAAGCCCACAGAAAACTATTATAATCGGTAGTACTCAATGACTTTTCATTTAGGTTTGCTCTTTTCAGTGAAAGATCAACTGATGACCAACCATTTTCAAATTATCCGGCATTTCTTTAGTTCCCTTTTTTCTCTACCAAGTTATTATTATTCAAGACTCCAGCTCCATTATCCGATTGAGGTCTCTGGATACCCTTAGGCTGCGGCTTCCGGTCATGCAGGCGTTGGTATAGCTCTCAATGAGCTAAAGCCGCACTCCTGGACTGGTTCCCAGTCGACGGTAGGTTAAG